GCCGCCTGTGATGGCCCGCCCGACAAGGCCACGTCTGCAGCCATCCTCGAGCGTGGTGTCAGCGGTGTCCGTAAGCGAACCACACCCTCTTGAGCGTCGGTTAGTGGAGTCATACGTGGCAGTGGCGCGCGATTTCCCCCGCCTTCTCTGGCTGCCATCGCGGCGTCAATGTCGAGGACATCTTCCGGTGCTGGCCGCCCTCCTGCGCGTCGTCTTTCGCCAGCGTCGTCTATGCGGACGCCGCCACTCCCCCGCTTGGACGACTTCCGCTGCAACGGCATGTCGTCAGAGTCTTCGAAATTCGTCCCCTCCTGCGTCGCCACGTCCTCCGGCACCCACTCTTCATCCAGCACGTAACCTCCATGTGCCGGGGCGCCTTCGAGGATCTTCCTCTTCTTGCTGGTCATGTGGCGGCCCTTCTTCTCTCGGGTCGGAGGTTGTTGTGAGAGGTTGGCGGCGGCCTTGCCGCGTGCGGAAGTGCGTGAGGACATGGCACAAGACGCACCCGCGGTGACGATGACAATCTGGACGACGAAGGCGAGGATCTACGGAAAGGCGACGATGGCGGTGAAGACGACGGGCGAAAAGACGTGCTCGCCGAGGAGAATGTCGCCGAAGACGACTGCAAAGAAGACGCAAGCAGTGAAGATAACTACGTTGGTGACGGATGCGGTGACGATGGCGATGACTGCGGCGATGTTGAACAAAAAGGCTCGATGGCGACGATGGCGACGAAGGCGCGGATGCAGGCTACGAAGGCGACTCGAGTGGCGCAAACGACTGCGACCAAAAGCAGAACAAGTGCGGTGGGCGACGGGGACTGCGTGAGGTAGAGAGAGAGAGAGTGTTGTCGTGCATTTGCGTAGAACGTCCGCGCCCTTATACACACGTGTTACGCAGGGTGGACGGCAGCACAGACGCAGCGCGAAGGCCAGCCGAGGGTCATTTCCAAGCTCCACCAAAAGACAAGAAAAATGCAGGGTCATTGCGGCGGGCGAGACGGAAGGCGAAGGGTCGCGGGCAACGCGACCGTGCATCCGTTGCGCCACCGCCCTTCGTCTCGCCTCCCCTCGTTGATTGTGGACACGGAGGGACCCACAGGCCGAAATTATGCCCCCACAAACGACTTCATCCCACTCTCCCATCGTCCACACTCCATGCCAGCCATGAACGAGAACCGAACTCGCCTCCTACCCCGGAAAGCCGCGAAAACCAACCCCC